CTGTCTCTGCTATGCCCCCAGTGTAACAAAGCATATTGTTACCTCATTGTGGCTGAAGACTAAGGTGTTTTTAGTTAGCCTCCCTACCTGACTTCCTAAATAAGTCAGTGGACTCTTGCTTAAATCCTACCCTGTTCAACTTGCTTCTCATGACACTGATCACAAAAGTGGTTAACTCTCTTCTCCATTCTTTCTTCCTTCCTCTCTTTCTCTAATGCTTTTTTCCCTGTGGTTTCTCCCCCCTACTTTGTTGCTCTTGAGATTTTATCCTACCTTTTCTTCCTTTTCTCCTTCCCCAACTTTGATCCCATTTGATGTCCACTACATTACTGGTGACTCTCCCTCAAAAAAATCCTTGACAAGTAGGCATATTTTATCTGAATGCAGAGAGACAGGAAGTAGAGGAGGCCTTCCATGGCATAAGAACAAGAGGCAGGCAGGCTTTCCAGAGGAAGGGAGCTGTATATTGGGCCTGTAATATTTACCTGTTTAAAATATGTTCATAGATTTCCTTAAGACAGAGCTGAGGATAGGTGGGCTATGGGGGTTATGTATAGTGACAGGGATCTGACTAGGGCTTAAAGCCCAGATGGGAAATGTCCCAAGGATGAACTTTGGTTACATCACTGGCTTGTGTGAGGCCAGACCTGGCTATAGAGTCAGTTTCTTGTTCCACATAAATTCTGCTAGAAGGAAGACATCTCTGTCTCTGCTAAGAAGAAAGGGAAAGAAGAGAAAGGGAAAGTTCTACAGGTTATTTCCCCCGCTTCATGGACTGACTTAAAAGAAATTCAGCTACATCCATATATAGATAAATATCATCACCATCTTTGAGTAGAAAGACCAGGGACACTTAACATATGCAGCTTCTAATACTGCTATAGCAAAGTGCAACCAACACATTTGGTCTAGTGAAGGACCTGAATGAACCATGTTTAGATAGGACAGTCTTGGAGCTCCTCTGACAGTCACTGGTGGCGGTCCACTAAGCCAAAGGGGCTGAGCCAGCTTCTAACTATTCATAGGCTGGCAAGTATTTACGGGAATGTTTTGAAGGTGAGTGTGCATACAACTACATACGCACTTGTCTTTGTTAATATGAGGAACCAGTACAGGAATTTTTTTTAAAAATTAGGTTTTTGTTTTGTTTTGTTTTGCTTTTTAAAGCTAACACTAGTTAGAGCCAGGCATTTTTCCAAGACCTTCACATCTATTCGCCCATTCAATTTCCAAAGTAGCCCAGTGACTTAGGCACCATTATTATACAATTGTATATACAAAGAATAGGGCCCAGAGAAGTTAAGTGACTTGGCCAAAGTCACAACACAACTAGGAAATGACTGTGTCAGTTGAATCAGGATTCAAATCCAGGCCTTCTGGCCCCACTCTTGCTCTTAACCC